TCCAAGAAACACAACCAAAATGGTGGAACATAAACTTTTATCGTTCGCGGCTGTCGCAGCTTTGTGGACTGTTGTAACTTCACTAATAAAGCTAATTCGCCTACTCCTAAAGTGGAAATACATACAAGGCAAAAATTATGCCATTTTGGATGCTATGTTGCGAAAGCGAAACTATTTCGTCTAAAAAGTTTCGTCCCGGTTACCCGGGCTGGAGTGTTCATATGGGAAAATTTTCATCCCGGTTACCGAGATATCGGTCGCAAAACCCGAGATCTCGGTAACCGGGCCAGCCTGGCTTCTCATATGAACACATCGAAATTTTTACGAAGGAAAGATTGGCGAGGCGAGATCTCGGAAACCGAGCCAGCCCGGTTGACCGGGCTCATATGAAGAGGCCCTTAGACCCCTTCCACACCAAACCGGACAGATTTTCTGAAAACGACGTTTTCACTCTTAAAACGCATCAAATGTTCTCCGTCCACACTACATAGTATAGCGGCGAGCTGTAAAGGGAGGTAAGCGTGGCACTGTAATCGGGAGCGTGCTCACGGCCTTGTTTGTACAATGTTCTGAAGTAGCGGCTAAATTTCCTGCTTAGGCTCCGTCCTCACTTCGCCGAAGAAATGTGAAAACGCAACTTTACTCTTGCGGTCTGGCCTACTGTCCACATTAATCCTAAACGAAAACGGGACTCCTTGAAAACGCTCTCTAAACCGGGAGAATTTGAAAATGCCGGAGAACATTTTGAAAACGGAGCTATGTGAATTCCCTGACCTAGTTTTCGTCAAATGCAAATCCAAAATGACCGGTAATTGTTGCGTTTTCAAATTTCCCCGGCGTAGTGTGGACAATACATTAGATGTGTTTTGATCTCGAATTACTCCGGCGTAGTGTGAACAGGGCCTTAATCACGATCGAGTTTGTTTGGACAATATGTCCATTTTCCTGATGCGTTGAAAGACACCTTTTTTCTTTTTGGCTCATTTCTCTGACTATATGAAACTAATTTGATCAGTATTTCTGCAATCGTTTCAGGTATTTTGGTTCTCTTCAGACTTTGGCCAGTTTCTTGTACTTGCTGTAGCGTAAGCGGCTTATTCCCTTCTTTAAGGTCGGCACACACGAGGGGACTGGTCCCTGCGACTAGTCTCTGCAAAAAGTCGCGGGGACAAGTCCTATCGTGTGAACTGGCCATTTTTGCTTCAAAACCTAGTCGCAGGGACCAAACTTGGTCCCTACGACTAGTTCCATGAATTCAACCAGTTTAAATTTTTGGGACAA